CGTTTCGAAGAAATGCATGAATTTTGTAGAAATAAATTTGTTTCATAAAAAATGTTTTCTTTTTAAGTCTCGGTTATTGAAAAGAAGTTTCATTTTTATTTACATAGTATGCTAAGTAAACAGAAAGACATTTTTTCATTAACCTAAAAAAATGATTTTATGGATTAAAACTATTATGAAAACAAATTGTTGTAATGTACCTGCCTCACCACGAGGACCATTTGTGACACAAAGTTTATTTGTTATGTGTAGAATTTAAATGTGACATTGGCGGGAATTCGATACATAATTTCCTTTTCTTTTTTATGAATTAAAAAGTGGGTCCCCAGCAGCACAATAAACTGAATTCATTGTGTGTTTTTATTACATAATTTTGGTTGTAATGATTAAATTAATAATTTATAATATTAAATGGGTGAATTAACACTGTTTAAAAAGAAATTAAAAATAAAAATTTTATTTTGAACTGAAACAGACTTTGAACTAGCGAACTTTTTGTGAAGTTGGAGAACTGAATAAAAACTTGCACATTTCTTCTTTTTTTTTACACAAGTAAAATAAATTAACATCTTACTTAACAATGGCGTTATTACGATCCATAAATTTTAGTTTCACTAATAGTTTTTAATCAATAAATATTTATATATTTTATCATTAGTACCAGGGATGGAAAATTAAGTTTTAAACAAAAAAAAATCCAAAGATTAATTTTTGAAATCGGAAATTAGGTTAAAAATTCTCCGGTACCCAACAAAATTCTGATATTTCCGATTCTCGATCTTGACTTCGATTAATCGTCCCATCATTAGTTCGTACTTATTGTTATTGTATCATTTTGTTAAAGTTGTAAAGCTAATATATTTAACGATGTAACAGTGGGATTTCTATGACTGTTAGCCGTAGAAACCTCAAAGTACTTATACCATCACTCAGTTATCTGACATATCAGAGAATTCAAAATCTACGATAACCAAGACATTTTCACCTGAACTTCGAGTTTAGTATCATTTTTATATAATTATTCTTATTCTGTGTTTTATCGTGTCATTAGTTTCTGACTTCTGTTTACAGTGTCTCTTTGTCGTTGGTAATCAAGACTCTATACAATTCTCTGTCCATTGTCTTTTTGCTATATTTGGTAAATCCTGTTAGCCATTTGCACAAACTTGTTAAATAGGTTATGCTCTGCTTTCCTCTGTCTCTCTTGCCTTCAATATATCGTGAATACTGACATTTTTCGTTTTCTTGTCTACGGTACAGAATGAAAACTGAAAATTGCTAACAGTTTTTTGATACGCAATCATTAAATATTTTGCTCAACTGCTAGAAATAATTAGGTTGTAAATAATAAAAAAATATATAGCAGAAAAGTCAATACCAAGCCTAAGTTTAGCAGGTTTAAATACAATTGCAATTAAAATACAGACTTCATTATTTCATTTTTTCTTTTGCCGCAAGAGTTTGCTGCCAAGAACTCCTACAGAGAAAGGAAAGGAAAGTAAGAAGGAAGGAATAAGCCAGTCGCAAGAAGACAGAATTTTAAACTAGAGAAACAGCCCAAGTTAGAGTTACCAGAAGCAATCAAGTACGAACATTTAAATATCTGAAAAGTATTTTAAAAGAGGATAGAAAATAAGGTAATGAAATCCAAAGGCACCTTGGAATAACGAATGATAAAGAAAAAGAAAAAAAATTCGTTAGAAACAAAGAAAAGAATACTGAACTATTATAGCCTATCTGTCCTCCTCTTTGGCAGACAATGCTGGAAAATTTTCCTCACTGATTAAATAGAGACCTGAGGTAACAAAAATGTGGTCCTACAGAAGGATGCTTAGAATACCATGAACTGAACATGTCAGTAATGACAGCGTTTTAAACAATTTAGAATAAAAAAGAGACAACTGAAATTTCTTAGAAACATAATGAGGAAACAAGGTTTCGAGAATTCAACACTCTTATTGAAGGCAGGAGTTGCAGAAGAATACAGCAAGTAACCTACCTAACAAGCTTGTGTAAATGGGTGTAAGAACCACTATAAAGAATAGGAAGTTGTGGAGAGCTGGGTTCGCCCACGTCCTAAAGGGACACAGCAGATAGATGAAGATGTTAATATTCATTAGTTTACGTGACAGTTTTGAGATATTCATAAATACTAATGGAGTAATGGATAGCGGCTCGGATTGAGTAATCGGAGAACCGAGTTCGAATTCCAGTCGAATCCATTACATTCATTTCCGTACTATTACCCTTGGAAAATGTATTAATCATCTTCTTTCTCGCAGCAGCGGGTAAATAGCAGGACAGTCCAGGTTCTATAGCATTAGATGGTGACTTGTCTACCGCAGAAAGAAACGGCAACCTACTGCGGGGAAAAATCTGCTTCGTCTGATGCATAGTCACCTAAGCGTATATCACGGATGGCATATAACTGACTTATGATATCATCAATAATATATACGCGTTTAAGGGAATATTCTAGATAATCCATTTCACATTTTCTGATTGTATTATCTGACTAACTGCTAATGAATGTTGTTTTATCTAGTTGTTAATTAAGGGATTTTGAAATACTTAATAAAAATGGGATTTTTAAAATAATATAATAAAGACATATTTTATCAGTTCAGTTTCATCTGTTCCAAGGTTATCTTTGAACACAGTATGTATTGTAAACGAATAAACATTATATGAATGAAAATTGTAGTAAGGGATTTGGATTTGTGCGTGTGCTATTGTCATTACTCAGTCACGGGTTGGGATTTGGAGTGGCTGCGGTTTTCGCTTTGTAGTGGGCTGCATCATCTGTTCTCAGGCCTATAACTTTACCGCACCGCCACGATTTATCACGGAAAATCAAAGGTCATCTTTTCACTAGGTGTGTGTGTGGGGGAGGGGTGCTCGTTATAATAATTGGCACTATGTGTGGGCGGGGGGCATATCGGTAATTTTTGTATTGTTTGCAGCAGGGAAATTTTGCCGACTTCTCGTCAGAGAATGGAGAGGGAAAGCTGAGTGTTATAACACCATCAATAATGATGATGATGATGATGATTGTAAGGACTTCCGGTCCTTCTAGGGAATATTGCGATCAAGACGGGTCCAGCGGATAGTTTAAGTAAAATACTTTGTTGAGTTTACCATATGTCGTCTTTGTGTTGCTTCCATTTTTCAACACAATTCACATCTAATATAATCTTTCCACGCTAAGCCCAGTGAAACAATGAGTGAGATAAATTACCTACCCGACTTACCTGTTACCATGACAAACATATTACTGAAAAAGTTTAACGGAGAAACTACTTTCTTCCACACGAAAATCTCGCTTTCTTGTTCGCTTCTGATTTTTCAATTCAAAGACTTCGTTAGATCTTTTTTTATCGTTATTTTTTAGCAGGTCTTGTGATCGTCAGTTTGCCCTGTCAAATATGTCGTATTCCAGAAAAGCGATATCCGAGTATTTTGAAAAATTTGTGTGGCTGTCTGAGGCGATGATTTTTTTTATTATTATTCTTAACCGTAAATAATACTACTTTATTGTACACCACCAGTGGCGGATCTACTCTGAAACCAATGAATACTAAATTTCAGGACCACTCATTCCAAAGCGGTTCCTGTTGTACCTTTTTAATGATTGATTTTTTCAACAAAATCGATGTTTCTTGTTATTAAAATAAGGTCAATTTAGTGATAGAATCATAAACGAATGCGTTGAAGTAGCTAATGTTGGACATAGAATATGTTCTTGAATATTTTTCTATGGCCCCGACATTTCCCTGTAATTCAAAATATTCTTAGCAGATTCTAAGAATAATTTGCTGTATAATCACTGTATACACTGTTGTATATTCGCTGTATATTTTGCAGTATATTTGCTGTATGGGTGCGTTGAGCTCGCCCGAAACTTTCATAGTCTACAACATGGCAGGTGGATCCTCGAATCTGTTGTTGCAGGTTGCAAAGGGGCGTTTATATCTGTTCAAAGTTCAGGGCCCCACAAGTGTAGGCCCGTCACTGTACATGCGCAGCGTTTGGTTATCGACATGGAAAGCGGGACTGACAAGGCGAAATTCAATTACAACCGAGACCAAAGCGTTCGGTTACGCACAATTACTGTTTGAAAGGTATAAATCTATCTCTGTTCCCAAAAGTTATGGGTTATATAGTAGGAAGGATTGAACACTCTTGACTTGGATAACAAACATCTAGGAGAATCTCTGGATTTTAAACCATTCTGAAGAGTGATTCGAAGAGGTTATCTTGACCCAGCTATACCACCGCTGTTATGGCTGGAGTTCATGTAGCACCTTTTAAACCATAATGGATTACGAGGTTTGCGATGTTAACAAGGGATTTTAGATCGAGGCGATAAAGAAGTGCAATTATATTATAAAGCTTCAATCTCCAACCTTAATATTATAATTAATCCATTTATCAGAGTACGTCTTAACGACTGAAAACCGTAATGACAAATATCTGCTGCTTATTAGCTATTAAAAGAGAAATATATGTCCATTAATCAACGCTGCATTTGATCCAGTGTACTGGTTGGTCTAGAATTTATTGAGTGGAAAACAATTAAACAAAGAGGAAGAAAAATGGTGGAGAAAATGAAAGAAAATGACTAAGAAATTAATAAATCCTTTCATGTACGGAGTTTTCCAATTTTTAACTGCGCAAAATTTTGTACGTGTAAGTGTATCTGGGGATACGATTATGTTAGAAGTTTATTTGATCACACCGTCTGTTATTTATGAAGTATATTTGCATTATTGTACATTTATAGTTGGGTTTGATTAATTACTATTTCATATTTAATTTCGCGTGTTTTAATATAATTTACCTTTTGTTAGTGTTAATGAGCATAATATATATTAGATGTTTAGAAGGAATGCATTATCTGTCAAAGAATTGGTTAAATCTATCTATCTATCTATTTATCTATCTATCTATATATATATATATATATATATATATATATGATAGATAATATATATATATACATATATATATATCTGATAGATAGATAGATAGATAGATAGATAGATAGATAGATAGATAGATAACTTGAATGACGAATAAATAAATACATAGATATTGAACAAACTATGATAGATAGATAGATAGATAGATAGATAGATAGATAGATATTAGGATGTTCAGAAAATAAGGTCCGCTTTTAAAATCAATTTTTATTCTTGGATTCATGTATTTAATCAATGTTTAAATCAGTCAAAATAAGGAACCCTGCACTTCTATTGAGTTACAAGATTATTTATTTATTTTCGAAGAAAAATCTAGACACTAAGAAATCATTGCATGCGGCTTCGGTATCTTTGCAATGGAATATCTTTTGTCTTTTGACAAAATTCTGGAAAAAGTGGTCGTCAGTTTGCCAAGATTCTTGAAAACCTGATTGTGGGAAAGTGATCAAGGAAATATGGTGGATGTGACGATGTTTCCCAAGTCCTAAGTCGGTGAGGAGCTTCTGCAGTGAAATCCTGTCAGCATGTGATTGAGCATTTTCAGGTAGCAGAATTGGACGTATTTAACAATATTCCAATATTTCTCATTCCGAGCTGTTAACTATTACCCCACCAACACATCCCCACATATATATTCGGGGTATGGAAGCAAGGAATTATGTCGTATCTTTCTTGGCTAAAAAGCATCCTTTCAATGCATGTTCTCGAAGGAAGCGCTGAATGATATCTACTGACAAATTAATTTTATCCACCACTTTTCTTGGAGTCTATTGCAGTCCTGATTAGTTTCTCTCCCATCCAATGTTGCAACTCGTCATGAATGACCTGAAACACTTCAAGTACCTTGATACTTCTGGGGGTTTTGAAATTCTTAATTTCTTAGCTATTACTTGTTGCCAACTTTCATTGCCGTCATCCTTTTATGATTTTAGTTTCTTTGGAAATTTCAGCATGATTCCATGTAAGGAAACAAAAACAAAAGGAAGTTCTCTTATGGTCGCATTTTGCTTAACTGAATATGCATTTCACCCAGTTATTGACAAAAATTCAGCAGTGATGTTCTGGTTAGATTCCAAGAAGCTATAATGGTTAACGACAATGGTGGAACACCAGGCAGTCACTATAATCTACTGTTGGCTAAATTTTGGTTTTTATGGAGTATTTTGGCACTTCCGATGGTTTATAATTGTAATGAAGAACAGCCAAACTACCCACACATATGGTTTGATTTTAGTGGTGAAGGCTTTTGCAGAAGTGACCACACTTTTCAAAAGAACAGAGTAGAGGAAACCGGAGCATATAATGTGTCAGAATTTCTTCGAACAATCATCACCAGGCTTTTCTTTCCCTTAGATTAGTTGCCAACCAAGCTTAAAGAGTCCAGTATATGCTGCTATTTAACCCATAGCGAAAAGGAGATGAAGATGGAAATTCATACCTTTCCCTTTGTATTTACATATAATTGAATGTTAGGAACTCGTCTGAAATTCGAACTAGGCTCTCTAAAATTTCAAATTCCGAGCTGTTTTCCGTTACACCCCCAGCACAGCCTCACTTATATAGTGGGTGTATCGAAACAACAAATATTCATTAAAACAAAATAACTAACCAATTATGCTCTCTCTCTCTCTCTCTCTCTCGCTATATATATATATATATATATATATATATATATATATATATATATATATATATTATTATTATTTTTTGTCATGCTGACTTCGAAGTTTCGTGAGCGCATTGAAGTAATTCTTTCACTCTTCAGGGCTGTTGGCTACTCATATATATATATATATATATATATATATATATATATATATATATATATATATATATTATCATCCACAGACAGACTGGATCGCTGTATCACAGCTCATTAGTGTGGCTAGATGTCCGGTTGCCTCAAGCTAGGATCGAAACCTGGATGAATTGATGTGTCACGGCAGGGATGAAGGTGAACTTCTGCGTATTTATTTTTACATAAACACACCATTGACTGTTTTCTCGATGAGTATTGCATTTGTAGGAGTAATAGATTAATTGATCAGATAAAGAACAAATAGGAAACATTTATGCAATTAACACGATTGGCTTTTATTAAAGTTTCATCAGAGAATGACATATAAAAAAATCTGCCTAACCAATGAAAATCAAGTATCACAAAAATAAAAAAATACCAGAAAATTTTTCCATATGTCATTCTCTATTGCAACTTTAATAAAACTGAAACATATTAGATCCATTAATGTCTCTATTTTTATCCCATATATATATATATATATATATATATATATATATATATATATATATATGGGGGATACCGAACCAAAATTCTCATACACGTTAAGCTGTTGTAGATTATATATCCAGGTTTTACATTGCTCTTTCAGCAGATGAAACAATGACCCTATTCTGGTCTTTTCTTGGCCTAGTTATCATTTTTCTAACACGGGTTTTGAATGAGAGAGTAAATGTAAGTTTATCGACACCCCCACCAAAAATGCCTACGGAAATATTTTTCGCCACCTTTCATAAACCAAACAAGAAGGAGCGTTTTTTTTTGTATTTTTTTAAAAACATATTTAATTTAAATTTATTGCATAATATTAACCATAGTAAATTACTGTAAATTGTTTATTTTCTGTGCGCCTTTCTTTAGTTTGAATAATCGCTTCAGTTTTCCTGGGAACGTATGCGTGAAAACACTTAACTGTCTTCATTCGTATGAGGCGCCATTCACTTTAACTTAGCTGGGACAATTCTTCAAGATTATTTGGTGTATTGTGACGAATTCGTCTCTTTAGTTCTGTCCCCATTTGATGGATAATATTTAATTCAGATCTCAGCTGGTCAATTTTTCAACTCGGTGACATTTTCATCAGTCTGATACCATAACGTATACCATCTGTGTCAAGATGCTCCTTCATGTTGAGAAATTTCGCCTTCGTTTAAGTCTGGTATGAAATGGTCATTCAGAATTTGTGTGCATTTGGCACGATGCAAGCTACTGTCATTTTACAACAATTTTCTTGAACAATCATTTATTAATTATAGCTTATAGAATTATTTCCTAAACTTCAATGTTTCCCCGTGTAACATGAGTCTGTCCTCTTTCCTCTAATTCTCGTTTATTACAAGGTAGCTCCATTACGATTTTTACGGCTCAACATGATCTTATTCGAACATCTATTTTGTATATGCTTCTTTGTCTAATTACTTTCACAGCAAAAATGCATCCCTTTAATGTATGTACTCGAAGGAAGTGCTGTGTGTTATCTGTTGACATTTCATGGTTATCCATCATGTTTTCGGGAATTTTCTTTACCTGACCTCCTATCGTCTTGATCATTTTCCGTACTATCAAATGCAACTCGTCGTGATTGAACTGAAACATTTCAAGAGCCTTGAAACTTCTGGAGGATTTTGAAATTCTTAGTTCCTTAACTATTATTTGTGTGTAACTTTTATTGCCATCTCCCGTTTTTTATTCTAGTTTCTTTGGGGACTTTTACCGTGGTCTCAAAACAAAAGAAAGCGGCGTTATGAAATAATAATGCCATCGCTAATGGGTAAATATTTCTTTGACAAGAGGACCAAATGTCAGGTGATTTTTCACGGTTATTTAGAGTGTGTGTTTCCTGTGGCTGAAGGGTCTCCCATCTTCCCGTTCTTTTCGGAAACTCTGCTGTAAAGTATGATAATTAGAAAAGAAAAGACTGTTAATGTTCAATTTCTGAAGCAAAACGTCCACGTATAAGCTCCACAGACAGATTCTTTCGCTATATCACAGCTCTTCGGTGTGGCTAGACCTCCAATTGCTTCAAGCCGGGATCGAAACTTGACCGATTTGGTATCAGTCAGAGATCCTACCCCTAAACCTTCGGCGCACAGCAGAGAGAAAGGGAAACTTTAGCGTTGTCTATACGAAATATGCCAGTGGATAAGAGAACTCAATTCGTATTTGAAGAGTAATGCATTCATAGCAGCAGCCACTGTTTTTATTAAATTATTTTTTTATTAATTTTTATTATTTTATTAAATGAGCGTTATCAAAGAGACTCCGAGAGCATATATATAGTCATCCACAGAGAGACTGTTTCGCTGTACCACAGCTCTCCAGTGTGGCTAGACGTCCAGGATCGAAACCATATATAAGCAAACATAAACCATTGTCTACTTAACTGCAACATTGAATGCTTACGCGGAATGAAAATAGCTACTATAAATAATTTAATAAATAGAGAGCATTATATTATTTAATATCCTATTATTTCTTAAGGAACGCGAAAACATAAAACAAATATTAATTAACGATCATTTTCTTAATCGCATAATTTATTAACAAATTAAACTAACCTTAAAAAAAGAAATAATGCAAATAATATTTAAATATCCAGCAACCACAAACTAGATGAAAGAAATATATGAAATGCATGTATAGACATTACCTAATGAGAAAAATAAACAAATGAAAATCCTCATTTATTATAAAGCATAATCTCTATCAATAAAGCATCAGGAAAAATTCAAAACTTCAATAAACAAATACTATCTATGAATTTGCTTGTCTACCTGGAGAATGCTTAATTCAAGCAAGACATAAATTGGCTTCACAACCACGATCTTCTCATGAAAATTTTTTATCGCACTTCTCGCGGTATGGAAACGTAATCTAAGTCGTACTGCCTCGCGTCCATTACCATTCGCACTACCATATGTAAGAATCATATCTGCCTGCTCACGATATGATAACATGCCATAGTTAAACGGAAGATTTGTTACTTAACTCACTACTACATACGTTAAACATTAAAGAGAGACTAGCCAAAAATGTACACGACTGGCAAATATAACTTAGTCTACATGACAACACTGATTTTTCAATCAGCACCTGACGATTGTGAATATATATATATATATATATATATATATATATATATATATATATATGTACTGTCATTGCATTTTAATTTTGAATGCTGACTGTGAAGCAAGAAGCGAGATAAAAATTGTTAGCTTACGGTTACATTTAGCCATTCCTACATCCGCCAGATCTAATACTGCGTTTAAATTAATTAAATCTAGGTACCAAAAAAGAAACCATGAAAATATTTATCGAAAACGCACGTTAATTTTAATGGGTAACACGATGTATTTTCTTTATTAACTTTTTTCGGGTTCACAGTGAAGCAACATTACAACGGTGAGAAAATGATTGAAGTTGAGATGACAGTTCAGGACAAGTAACATTGCAGATTCTTCTTTGTATTTGATCTAGATTCTCTAAATATATGGAAGTAGTACCAGATGAGACGTGGCAGCAACATTCAAAGCAAGCTGCAGTTTTCTGTCGAGAAGAATTCTATAGTATAACACAGTGAACCAACATTCCTAGCAGCAGATCTTCTAACTGATTCAATATAATGTTTCTACGGAAATATAACCTTTAATGTCATTTCAGCGGAAAACGTTATTCCGAGAATAGACAATAGTCAATCTCTGGTAGGGTCAGCATCATTAATGCAATATTCATAGTTTATGTATTTAGTATTTTTTAATAATTTTACAGTTCATGGGATATATTATTTTTGTGTATTGATAAAGATTTGTTAAATGTTTTGTTTTTGCGTGTGCTATTTAATTGAACTATCAAATAAAGTACACGTTATGCGGCGTGATAAGATAGTGGTTGTGAGACCAGTTTATGTCATCCTTGAATTAAGCATTCTCCAATTAGACAAGCAAATTCATAGATAGCATTATTGAAGTTTTGATTTTTTTTTCTGTTGCATTGTTGATGCTGATAATGCTTTATAATAAATGAAGAGTTTCATTTGTTTATTTTTCTCTTTAGATAATATGTATTAGGATTCATGTAATCTCTTTCATCTATCTAGTCGTTACTGTATATTTGTTTCTTTTTAATAGTTTTTTAATATTATTATTATTTGCATTATTATTATTTGTCAACGATATTTTAATAAATTATGGGATTATGGAAATGATCTTTAATTAATATTTTTTATGTTTTTTTGTGGTCGTTAAGAATTAACAGGTTATCAAATAATATAATGGTCTCTATTAAATTATTTATGGTAGGTATTTTCATTCTCTGTGAGCATTCACTCTCGCAGTTAATTAGAAAAACGTTTAAGTTGTTTTATACACATACACATATACTTATATATGCTTAAACTAACTTAATTAGTGAAAAATAATGTTCGAATAATAATAATAATAATAATAATAATAATAATAATAATTAGTTGTTATAATGTTATAATAATAATAATAATAATAATAGTTTACGAGCACATCCATCTGCTTGATATGTATGAATAAAGACAAAAGACAAAATCTTTACCAACGCCTTTCATCCTCTGATGAAATGTATGAATATAAATGTACAGATTGTATTTTGCACTATGGTAAGGAAAAGATTCCCTTTTGTCTTCATAAATATTGTCTTTTTAGCGTAAATGTTAGCATAAATTGGTTGTGCATACTTTTGTTTTTATTATATGTAATTTTTCCTCACACACACAAACAGAAACACTAACTTACACACACACACATGTATGTAGAAGGTGCAATGGGTAAATTGTCGCCATTTTATATTTTTTATTTCACGCATGCGCGGTGTTTGTTTTGGATTTTGATGACTACACAGTATAGTAGGGTCAGTTGCGTACCGTTTGTGAGAAGAAGGGTACCATGACGCAATTCACTCCGTCAGAAAATTGGAAATGGCATGTTGTACTGTGCAGAGGATTCAGAAAGATTTGAATGAGTTTAATGGTGATTACGAAGGTGTTTGGAGTGATTAATAGTTAAGGCACCGGTATTCCTCTATTCAACTTCCCAAAGACACTAAGACTCAACACGGAGGTCTACATCAAACTAATTTAGGAGGTAGTACTGCTCTGGGTCAAGAGAGTGGCTGCTGAAAAAAACCTATTTTTGGTCTCAGGATACTGCAACGTACCACGCAGACAGGAAAATCCAGTCCTGGCTGTCAAACAACTTCTGCGACCAGATCAATCCTTACATATGGCTATCTAACTCCCCAGCCGGCAACCCTGGATTATTATGTGTGGGGCGCAGTTGAGCGAGAGATCAAAAAACTCCTGGTAACACAAAAAGATGAACTGAAAACAATGATTATAGCAGCATTCACCAGCCTAAGCCGGAAGACCGTTTAAAAGAGTTGCAAAAGATTCCGAAGTCGTATGGAGGCCGTGGTTCCGTGGTTTTGTGGCACTGAGGCCATGAAGTAGTTAAACGTTAATTGTGACCTAAACTGGAATATAAGCTGGGAGATAGAGAGAGAAAGAGAGAAGGTGGAGACATTTTCCTTGGTGGAGGTGTGGATGTCTAGATTTCTTCCCTTCTTAAGTTTTTATCTATCGAGAGTCTGGCATGTGGAGAAAAACAGTTTTGGAAATAATTGTGTGTCTTGCTCGGAAATGTAAATAAAGAACGAACCCTTTTTGAGGGTCGAAGTTATCGTTGACGTGCATGAAGGTGATATGCTTCATATTTCGCTGGAATGAGTTAAGTCTAGAAATTGGGAAATAATTTTATATCTTCCTTGAGAAACAAACATCGTTATGAGGAGAGAGAGGGAGAGAGAGAGAGAGGAGGGGAGAGAGTGAGAGATGGATTATATTTTCGCTGACGAAAACGAATTGGGAACTTTAGGAAATGTAAACAAGGAACGAACCCTTTTTTAGAGTCGAATTTATGACAATAGGTCCTGTGGTTGACGAGCAGGTGATCTGGTTTATGTTTTTGCTAGACAGAGATAAGTCCAGGAACAGAGAAATAATTTTATCTCTTCCTTAAGTAATCAAGAGAATTAAAATTAATGACAAGAATAAAACAACGCCCTTTCGCCCATACGCTTTAAAAATTAGATTTGTCACAAAGACAGTTATGCCTGCACTGAGAAGTAGGCTGATGCTGAATGCCAAGAAGGGAGAATGAAGAGTGAGAATTTAGCACCACCTGTATCGAGTGATGGTATGAAACGTAAAGTGGAGAAGGTTGAAGTTGAAAGGAAGAGAAATCCCTGTAACTAATCCCAAGAGTGTGGTTAATTATCCGAATTTGGGAAGTTTATTAAGATTATTGGGATTAATGTAAGGATTGAGGAATCACCGAATCCCTAGAATATTTCGGCTGATTACCGGTCTAGGGCCGAAGTACATTTTTTTTATTTACCCCCAAATAAGGTAGTACTACCACTAACACGCAAGGGGTTACAGGGTGTAGAGGAATTAAGAACAGAATAATTGGTAATGAGTAGAAATAGAAAAGAGCATTCAGGAGGACAGTAGATAGTGAGCGGCATTATATTTAAATTCTTGCAGGTTAAAGTTGGCTGAAAATCATGGAGCGGAAAGTTCCATAAGCGAGAAGTGCGATAAAAGAAACTGATAGCGTAGAAGTTACGGCTACATCTAGCTAGCTCAACTGTAAATTGATACGATCATGCCGCCGGGCTAGTATTGCGCTCAAAATCATACAATCTAGGTACCATAGGAAAGAGCTCATCCGA